AATCGTCCCAAGAGGTGATGGACAATGGGGGCTGGGTCTCCAACCACCTCTTAGCATTCCCCGCCAGAGAGTGGGGGAAGAGGTGAAGGCGGATTGCATCATCCGGAACACCATTCAGCTTGAACCCGTTCGTCAGCTGCAGAAAACGGGAAAGGTGTACCCGGGCTTCCTCATCCTTCAAGCCATGGAACTGGATAGAGGATGTGATGAGTTGGATCCAGCATGGCTTGATCTCGAAGTTGTTTGCAGGGATGGGTGGATAGAGGATGACCGGGCGGATGTCAGCAATCCGTGGAGTATAGTAGTACTCCATGGTGGGACCCGGTGGTGGTGGATGATGATGGTGCCCAGCTCCCGGGGGGTTTTGATCGTTCCCCAGGATCTGGTTCTGAGGAGGTGGGTTCTGATTGCCTTCCATCTCGTGCTCGTCCTCGGAGTCGCTGGTCAATTGGCCGTCTCGGCGCTCCACCGTAGCCAGTCTAGCTTGCTGTTGTCTCCGAAGCTGTTTGCAAGTGCGCTCAATCTCAGGATTCAACGGCAGTAAACCTCCCGACTGGCTACGGGTCATGCACTATCTGCACACAATCAAGCAATGCAAACCCCGTGAAGGCACAAGTGGGAAGAACAAAAACTCAATGCAATAAATAAAAATGCTAAAGTAACAGAGATCACTTTTCTTCAACAACCTAGCCGTCCCCGGCAACGGCGCCAAAAACTTGACTCGACTCTACTGTCACCCTAGGAATTGGCCAAGTGAAACCACTTCCTAAAGCGTAGTATAGCGGGTTAGGTTTATATGTCAACCCGGGTCCTAGATTTGCTGACTACTCAGTGAGTTCTTGTTATCTAGCACTAAAACTGGAGTGCAAGTCTAAACTACCAAACAAACAAAGCAAGTAAACTGGTTGTATTCAGGTTAAAGAGGTCACCCGGATATGGTTCCCCCTAGACTGTAGTTAAGCCGGATTGTAATTACCAAGTTCAGTTTCTATGAAGATTATACTGCGGAAGGTTCTTAAACAGCCTGAAGTCTCGACTAAAGGTCTTCAGACCCTCTCAATCTGACTCTCTAGCGGGCGACTAACCTCCACCGGAGTCGACAGATTGAGGCCCTAAGAACAAAACCTCCACTACCGGAGTAAATCCGGTACAGAATAGTGAGTTGGCTCCTCGACTAAAGTCACCAACTCCCTACCTTCAATCAAGGATACTCTATTAACCTAGGCAGATATTCTCATTCTAGGTTAAAGCAGAAACAACAGGAATTTGATCAGGATTCAAGTCATTCAATCATAAAACCTCAATCGAATATAATCAATCACAGAATCAGTACTTGGGTTCATACAATCAATCTCAACATACAGAACTAGGGTTTCCCACACCCAGATGAATGGGAGAACTACTCCATGGCGAGAGAAGCAAAAGCAGAATCAGATGCGGAAATCATACTGTGAAGATGGATTTCTGCTCCTGGACGTTGAATCGGCACTTCTCCAAGCTCAAACCAAGCTCCAATGGTGTTGAAGATCGATCTAGGGCACTTGGAGACTCTTGTTCGTCGCTTTCTCTCTCTAGGAATCGTTCTCTCTCTCTAAAACTCGAATCCCTCTTAAGGGGTCGTTTGGAAGTTGCGATAGTTTTGTTGAGATTGTCATTATGTATGTATTGTTTACAATGCATCGTTTTTTTGTTTTTTTTTAGCATAAACAATATATGGATTGTTTCTGTGATGTGACAAAAACTATCACTCATTTTGAGTGATTGTTATATCTCAACTTTTAGTTGTGATTGTTGAAATAGTTGAGTTGAGATTGTTTTGTCTCAGTTTTTAGCTGATGCGACATACACAATCACACATACCAAACGTTGTATTCTACAATGCATCAAATTTGACAATACATTTATAATATTATACATGCATTCTCAACAATACATCTATTTAACAATCGCAACTTCCAAACGACCCCTTAGGGTTGGCTATTTGGTCCGGACTGTTTGGTTTTACCCGAAATCGGATCGTATAACCCGGATCGGGATCGGACTGGGACCGGATAGCAAACAATTCAATCTCATATTCAGGCTTAGATTTGAGGTAAAAAATCGAATAAAGACCGGATAAGAGATCCCAATACTCAAATTTCCACAAGTTTAATCTAAAATCAAGATCAAATTGGAACCGGATCGGGTCAAGATCGGACTGTATCCAATCCAATCTTTGGTCCTTATATTCCCAAAAGTACCGGACTAGAACCAGATCAATTTGGTCCAATTTAACCGGACCGGACCGTATAGCCACCCTTAATACTATTATATACAAATAGGAGATGAGATGCATGGTAGCATGCTTGTTGATTCTTATTCTATGAATCTCCCCAAGGTTTTCAACATACCCGAGAAATCAAGAGAACCACTCTGCACAAAGTATAAATAGGCAGGGCAACAACTGACTTGCTTGTGTTCAGTATTCACCAACATAAAATAAGAAACTGTACTAGTACACGTCACTGAGTCAAATCCATCTTTCATTGAAACCAATTTCCTCATGACTTTTACGAAATGAGGAAAGTTAATCTGCTAACTTGAAGATTCGTTAGCATATACTAACTGATATTCAAAATACATGAACTAGTATCAAGTACTAAAGTATCTAGAGAGCGCAGACTAGTATTCAAAGTAGGGGTGGGCATTGGTGCTGTTTGAACCACACCGCACCGTATTGATATAAACCGGACCGCACCACATCTTAATTGGATCGCACCACATGTTCGACCGCAACATTATTGGTGTGGTCAAACCAAACCGCATAAATTAGCGGTTTGGTGCGATCTAGACCGCACCGCATATTTGCCGCAATTCATTATGGTTCATATATAATTAAATAACCTTCCTACTGCCTATCAGCGCATCGAATCGATTTCTTTGCCACCAAAACGGAGCACCCAGGCGGCTGATGACTACTGCCTAAAGGAAATTATAATGGCAACAAAATGCCATCCATTATAGACACCTTAGTTTTGCGTGTACTTGTACTGGCAACTAGCAAGTAAAATCATTAACCATTACAGAAACCATAAATGTTCCAACTAGATAACGGTATTATAATTACGAAAAACAGTGAGAGGGATTCAGAAGTTGGGAAGGCGGTGAAAACTGGAAACATATTATGACATGGATCGTTAAGAGGGAACGAGAAGCTGGGGAAGGCGGCGAGAACAGATAGCTAGAGGAATGGGAAAGTTGGGGAACAGTGGTGGAAATCGGTTGCGACTTGTGAGAGAGATCAAAGTTGTTCGGCGCCACGACACCGGTGGCATCGGGCAGAAGGCTTGCTGTGTTGAGCGAAATTGGAGGGTGCGAACGGAACGACGAAGAGCAGAGGGTATTTTGATCTCTTCAAATCTATTGGAGTGGACGACTACTTTGAGTTAGATTTTAACGGTTTGCGGTTTTGAATCGCAACCGCGCGGTTTTGGTCGCTCCAAACCGCAAACCATTAACCGCTTAATAGTTGGACCGCAAGTGAGACCGCAAGTTTTACGGTGCGGTTTGGATTGACCGCAAAAGCAGTTCGATGTGGTTCGGAGCGGTTTGTCCACACCAATGCCCACCCCTAATTCAAAGTTTCCTAACTGATATCCACCATGAATCAACTATTATCCCAAATTCACAAACTAATATCTAGACAACACAGAATAGTATCCATACAACACATAATTAGTATCCAGATAACACATAAGAGTATCCATATTGAATACTAGTTGGTTGATTGTGGATATTAGTTGGTATCTACTATCTGGATACTAGTTTATGATGTTTTGAATACTAATCTATGCTATCTAGATACTCAGCAGACTTGGATATTAGTTCATACATTTTGGATATTAGTTAGTATATACTAACGAATTTTCAAGTTAGTAGAATAACTAGGGTGTTACGAGATTGCCTCATTCAACTTTGTCATAAGCTTTCGCTCTATTCAACTTAACACCAAAAATCCCCTTTTTATTATTGCCACTTCTTCGCATGATTGAAGCACTTGAAGTCTTGAACGCTGCAATAATGTTGTAAGTGATAACACTTTTCTCGAGCACTTTGGTTTTTTCGAAAATCATGCATGTTCACGAATGTTCAGTATTTGTTTGTAAAGCACAATATATAAACATATTAGTCTAAATTTCTTTGGTTCCGCCGAAACTTTCAATTTAGGAATGAGAGACTGAGTATGGTTGTCGAGATAAAAATATTTAAACTAGATAAACCTGTAAGGCTGTCCACAACCCTAGGGCTAAAATGGCAAATGTCCTTTTACTCTTTTAGTCCCAATAAATCATTTTCAACCATATGATAAATTTTGGGGGGTAAAAGGCTATAAGGGGTTTTAGTGGACTTTTTTTTAGCTCTTCTTTGGATGGGTTTTAAGAAGGGGCTAAAATGGTGGGAGCTAAAATGGTGGAGATTATTTTAACTTTTATTTGTTTTGTACTTAAACCGAATATAATTGTGTCGTTGTGAGTGCTTTTAACTAACGAAATTCATTTCGCCGTAACTTTCAACCGTTCAATTGCTATTTGAAAATAAAAAAATATATTTAAAATTGGAACGTTTTTCCATTTCAACTAAAAAAAATGTATCTCCGAAATTGTTCAAAATCTTGGTAACTTTGATGAACGAAGTTCATTTTGTTGTAACTTTCTTCCATTTCAACTAAAAACAAAGTATCTCAGAATTTGCTCAGATTTCATCGGAATGTTCGTATTCAATTATCGTAAATGAATATATAAATTTTAAATTAAAAAACATAAGTTTAACTATTAATAAGTTAGGATTACTAAATACGAAATATAAATTTTTAACCATCAGAGTTGCATCTGCTTCTGTTTTCGAGAGGGTAAAATAGCCTTAACCCCCCCCCCCCCCCCTCCCCCCCTTGCCTCTAGAGTTGTGGTTAGCCTAACTATTCCAGTGGATATGGGATCTGTAGAATTCCAATTTTAAAAAATATCCCACTGAAAATCCATCATATTTCGAGGCTTTAGTAGTGTGGCCCATATGCACATAAAACAAATTGTGTAACAAAATGAAACACTCTGCAATAAACCCAAAAGCCCAACACCCTCATCAGATATGAAGAAACAAGCTAGCTGCAGCCACAAACGCTACAAGAGCATTGACAACAGACTCCCTTCTGCCGCCATGGACGAACCCAGAAGAAGGCAAGTTGTTCTTGGAAGAAGGGTTGGAATCCCCTGGCTGTGCCTCCGGCGAACCGACCGGCGACTCTGCATTCCCCGCCACGTTCACTTGAAGCTTCATCCCTCCAAGGCAGTACAGCCTGTTGCCGCAGACGAAGTACCACGGTCCAGGCCTGTCCAATTCCACCGTCGTGTTGCCGTTGTTGAACGTCCTGATGGCGTCGGTCGTGTTGCAGCTGTCGAAAGCCGGTTTGTTCACTTCTTCCACCGTGTCAGAGGATCTATACTGAAACACTGCAATCATAGTGGGGGCAAACCAAACTGAGTGTGAGGAGTTTGTAACAATGGAGGAGTGCTCAAAACATATGTACTCGTTTGGATGTATCATTATAATGAGGTTGGATTTTGAATCAAAATGCTGCATTATTTTGTTGTGTAACATGATGATATTTCATATATTGTGGTAGTTCACCACTTAGGGAAGGAATTGAGTGAAAAAAGAGGTTAGGAGATGAGTTATTCGAAATAACGGATGGGTAGGTAAGTCAAATAACTAGGGATGGAAAAATCGGAGGTTGAACCGAAAAAATTAGCAGTAGGATATTTTATACTGAAACCGTGACTCCAGGGGCGGAGCTAGCCCCTTATTAGGAGGTGCAATGGCACACCCTTGATTTGGAGCACCACAAAAAATAGTAGTACTAATAATCAACAATGAACTCAAAATCTTATTGTTAATTCGCAAATTTTTAGTATCCAACCATGATTGATTATATAAATTAATTTAACCTACTAATATCTACATTAATACAGTTTATTAAGATGGTTATGATGTGCGGATTATTAGAGGAAATCAATAACTTTGTACGACAACGATAGTCAAAAGAGAAAATTGATTTCTGTCAATGTATTTGCTTATGTTATTTTTTTTAATGCACCCCCTTGAATGAAATTCTGGCTACGCCACTGCGTGGCTCAACCGTTTTATAATGCTAAATACCGTCTATCGGTACGGTTTTTCAATCCTTGCAAATAACTCATCATGAGTTTTTTCAATCCTTTCAAATAACTCATCATGAGTTATTTCAATTGTTACATGAACAAAATACCACAATCAATTTTATTTTTGCCAAACAAGTTATTTCGACCGAAATAACTCATCGAATTATTCCATCCAAACGACCGGCTAAAATCACCAATTGGATGTGAAATGAATGCAGAGCAAGAGATTTAGAGGGGTTCTTTATCAACAAAGTAAGAGGGCTTACAGAGAGAATCTCCAACGTTGAAAGTCTTGTCCTGAGTCCAAGTGTCGAGATCGGTGCTTATGTCCCAGCCGGAGTTGTCTCCGACCATGTAAGTGGTGGCCGCCGAGGTGGAGAGAGCTGAGCAGAGAACAAGGGTGGCGGCGGCGGCGAGGAGATACGTGCAGAACAGCTTCCGATCAGCCATTTTCGAGAGTTGAGACTTGAGAGAAAATTCAACACACAAGAGCTGGGAAATGGTTTTTGCCGTTTTGGGATGGGTTTGATATATATATACGCAAAATGGAGCTTTGATTCATATATATCCGAATTAGATCACCTAACTGAACTATTGCAAATTTGCGTGACCTTGTGGACTTGAAATGTCGTTGTGAATTGTGATATCAATTTTTCGGTCAATTACAAAAATGGCAACTGGACTTTGGGGTCAATAATAAATTCAGTTACCAAAGTTTTGATTCTCTACTTATCTGCCACTAAAGTTTGAAATCATGAAATGAGTAACATCCTATGTCTAGAGGTTTTTTTTGTTTATAGAATGTCTGAAGTTTTCTATGTCGAATAAGAAATACCAATTATCAGATACAGATCGGTAGGTAATTTTAACGGTAGAAAACAATTTAATCACAATTTTAGTACAAAATATCCTACCAATGACTATTCAAGACACAATTTCACAATCCTTACATTTTACACATTTGCATAGAATTGAGCTAATATGTACAAGCTTTTTAATCCATATATGCAAGCATTAAATCACTCGATCTCCCAATATTACCTAAAATAAAAAATGACTCCGATATGAACCCTTCAATTTTTTTATGTACTATTCCAGAAAAAAAGAACTTGATCAATGACCAATTATGTAATTGACCAATTAATTGGTGAAAACCGGTGAAGCAGGAAGGTGTTGGTTGGAGGGAGTTTACCCTCCTTTGGACTTCGCGGTTTTCTTAGCCTGTAATTGTCTAGCCTAAAACATTATAAGAACATGAAGATGTTACTTTGTAGCAAGGACAATGTACACACAATAGACCTTGGAAGAAAAATGACGAATATGACCGACTTCGTAGCATATGAAACTATAAAAAGAGTAGCAGGTAAAATATTCTCAAAACCGATAACGACATAGCAACTCTCATCCAAGCTAATCAAGTTTTAATCCACAGCTAAAGTTTACCCAGCAGCAGGAAAGATTTAGATAGAGAGATAGCAACACCTAGACGTCTACCCTTAACTTCGAAATACTCTTTAAGCAGCAGCTTGGGCTGCAGCCGCCCTCTTCCTGGCTTCCTCAATGATTGTCAGCTTGATTCCCTTGCCCTTGGGAAGGGACACCAAAGGCTTGGTTCCCTTACCGATGGTAAACACATTCCCCAAGCGAGTAGCAAACTCATGTCCCATCGAGTCCTGGATATGCACGGTTTCGAAGCTACCCTTATGTTTCTCACGGTTCTTGATGATGCCCACACGCCCTCTGTTCCTTCCTCCGGTGACCATGACGACGTTGCCAACATCGAATTTGATGAAATCCACAATCTTGCTGCTCTCCAGATCGAGCTTGATGGTGTCATTCGGCTTGATGAGCGGATCCGGGTAGCGGATCGTTCGCCCATCAAAGGTGTTCAGGTAGGGGATCCCTTTCTGCCCAAATTGAATAGTTCTCACCTTGCAAAGCTTGAACTGCACAGCAACAAAAGAGAGAAAACAAATGTCAGGAAATTTCATCGCACGCTATAATCACTAGAAACAAAGGTGCAGATACTGTGCTTGTACAATTAACCTTTGACTCCTCGTCCCGGATGGAGTGAAGACGGAAGCGACCCTTAGTGTCATAAAGCAATCGGAAGTTCTCATTGGTCTTGGGGATCGAAATAACATCTGGTTCAATCAAAGGAAATTCAGGGACACAATGTCAGTTAAACATGTACCAGCAAAATCATGCAAGAGAAGTGGCAGGCAGAAGAAAGAACATATAGCAGGAGATGAGGGGATACAGAGGAAATATAGCTTTTCAAGGCAAACTAATCCGTAGCAACTGGAAGTAATCTTATGTTCAATGTGCCCATAGTCATAGAAGGGATGGAAAGAGTACCATGCGCATGAACTTTCAATATCACCATACTAATCACATATATCTACTAATACAAAAACAGCAATTATAAGTACCAGTTATCCATTAATATAGTCAGTACAAGGAGCCTAGAACAGGAAAACAGAAGGTTATGACTGTTCAATACCTACAAGAGGGAATGTAACCTAAAACCTACAATAAGAAGTGCTTCACATGCACAATCAGAAGCAAGCAAGTTCTCCCACTGACGCTGAGAATTGGGACGGATTCCTGATTGCAAGTGTATTCCTCACTAGTGATTTCAATCAGATGCATAATACAACAGAATTTCTTCAGAAATATTCCCATCAGTTCCAATTTAGTGCCAATTCCCTAGAAAGAAGTCTTAACTTCTCTTTCAAAGCATCTTCACTTCCAATTGTTGACAAATTGCTATTACCAGTTAAAGAAGAACATAATGAACAGCAACGGACCGTACTATTTCCACTATCTTTTTTTTTATAAAAACTATTTCCACTATCTAGCTGGCTCGTATCTACAATTATAACTAAAAGCTCTTCTGAATTCCGACTACATCCAACCCACACTATAACTGGAGTCAGATCTCTTCACACATTCATGGTACAACAGAACCTATTCACAAGTGTTTCTATCACTGCCAATTTTAAACCCCAATTTGAAATAAGTCTATACTTCTCTTTACAATCATCCCCATTCCATAAACAATCAAGCAAGGCCCTTTTAAGCAGCAAAAGAACCAACAGCGGATTTCAACCACAGTATAGAAGAAACGTTTCAGTTGAGACATGAACTGAGACATACCCATAAAACCAGCAGGGAAAGTCTTGTCAGTCCGAACTTTGTGATCCACCATAACATGACGCTGCATCAGAATAGCATTCGCCTCACTGCCAATAAGTGCATACTTCAGACGATTTCGGAGAATCAGAACCAGCGGCAGGCACTCCCTCGACTTGTGAGGTCCAGACGACGGCTTCGGAGCCTAATCAATGGAGGAAACCCGATGAAAAATCATCAAATCACCGAAAGAGGTTCAAAACAAAGAAGAACCAAGAAGAAGAAGGAAAGAGGGAACCATACAAAAGCGCCGCCAAGCTTGTCGAGCATCCAATGCTTGGGAGCATTGAGCCTCTTCAAATGCTTCTTCAGTCCTCGAGCCTGTCACGTTTTCGCCAATACAAACACCATTAGGTTAAACCATAGCGCAATCGAAGATAGAAATCATAGAACGAAATGAGGAAGATGTAGCGCTCACCATGGTGGAAGTTCGACCAGACGACGGCGGCTGGCGGAGATTTAGTGTATGGGGTTTTGCTTTCTGATCCTTGGCTCCAGCGGCAGACGATAGAGGTGGGAAAGAAAAAAACCCTACTGCTCTGCTCTGCTCTTAGGGTTTTATATTAGTTTATATTTAGGGTTAAAGACACATTTGGTCACTGAAATTACAAAATCGGGACATGTTTAGTCACTAGAAAAAATTAATATCAAATTTGGTCACTACAATTACTAAAATAGGTCATATTGAGTCACTCTCCGTTAGTCTCCGTCCAACTCCGTTAGTGGAGTCCGTTAAGTGCTGACGTGGCTAACGGATGCGCCTAGTCAGCATCGTTTTGACCCAAAAATCATCATACCCGACCCGCCACGTCAGTTTCACCCGCCATGTCATACACCAACCCAACCATTAACCCAACCCGACCCAAAACCAAACTCAACCCACCTAACAAAAAAAAAAGGAAAATCATCTGGTTAGTGGCCATTTTCAGAACTTCGACTTCCTGGTTCCGACTCGAACACGAACACCACCACCTTCGACTTCCTGGTTCCGAGTCCGAGCGTGAGGGTGTGCCACGCGTGGTGGGCCAGGATCGTGAAGTTGGTCGGGAGGAACGCGGCGGTGGTCGGGAGCGGCGGAGTGGTGGTCTTCTTTTTGTCGGCGGCGGTGGGTGTGGGAGGGTAGGAGAGGAGCTTGAGGAGCTCTAGAGGGCGGGCGCGGCGGATTGTGAAGGATTTGACGATGAATTGGCTGAATCCTCCGATTCGTAAGTACCCATCTCTTTTGGCTTCAGATATGCAATTTCGCCGCTCGCCATTGCTTTGTCTCGGTGTGTGGGCTTGTTAACCGGTTGATTTCGTCTCAGTGGTTGAATGATTCTCGATGTTGTTATTCCCCTTGCGGTAAGGGAACTAAGAGGGACTTTAGTACCGCGATTTTGGAGCGCAAGAAGGCTGCCAACCGCCTTGTAGTCGACGAGGCTGTCAACGATGACAACTCCGTCGTCGCTCTCCACCCCGACACCATGGAGAAGCTCCAGCTTTTCCGCGGTGATACGATCTTGATCAAGGTTATAATTTGCTGACTCTTGATCTTCCGCTCCTTGGTTTCTTCTTTGTTCTTCTTCCAATTGAGGGGCTTGGATTGAGGATTTGTGGGTAATTGGGAACTACAGGTTGGAAATTGGCCCTTGCTCATCTAGGTTCCACTGATCTCGTATGGGATGTGTCGGGTTTATTACTCGATTGTTAATGATTATTGATTATTGAATTTGGTTTTGGGTCGGGTTGGGTTGAGTTTGGTTTTGGGTCGGGTTGGGTTAATGGTTGGGTTGGTGTATGACATGGCGGGTGAAACTGACGTGGCGGGTCGGGTATGATGATTTTTGGGTCAAAACGATGATGACTAGGCGCATCCGTTAGCCACGTCAGCACTTAACGGACTCCACTAACGGAGTTGGACGGAGACTAACGGAGAGTGACTCAATATGACCTATTTTAGTAATTGTAGTGACCAAATTTGATATTAATTTTTTCTAGTGACTAAACATGTCCCGATTTTGTAATCTCAGTGACCAAATGTGTCTTTAACCCTTTATATTTATTTACGCCACAAAATTCACGGGAGAACGAAACATGCTGGGCCAAGCCCATCGTTCTTCATCGGAAGCCAACTAAAAGCCATCATCATCTTGGGCCAAGCCCATTCTCCTGCATGGTCACTTGCCCGTGGGCTTCATGGCAATTTTAATCTTTTATCAATAAAAATAGGTTTTCTCCGACTTTTTCCTTTTTGAATTTGGTTCTAAGCATTACTGTGCAACTCAAACTCGGATTCTTTGATTTGGGGACGAAGTAAAAAGCTTCTATGGGGATTAGGTCAGCGGCGGTCAGAGCCGCAATTGATTTGTTCATGGGTTTGGGTGGTTTGGCCTTCTAGTAACATCTCCAATGAATTTGATCGCACTTGATGAGTTTGTGGCGATAGCGGCCCGACAACGGCTAGACCCGTCGTAGGTTCTTTCCTCCATTTGGGCTGAAACTTTGAGTGTGATTCTCACAATCTAAACCATGACAATTTAAAAAGCCGTGAGAATTGACCAAAAACTCACTGTTTTGTGTCGAACTCACGGTTTCATTCGATCTCAAGGCCTGACTGTGACTTTACACCGAAATCTTGAGAACCACCATCGGGCGAGTATGCAAGGCTTTGAACATCTCACGACCGTGAACATCACCCAGCCGACAGAATTATCTAGATCTTCAGCAGAAAACATCGCCTTCGACGATTTTATAGACTTCCAGTTGTCCAACTCTACAACCACACACCCAGTCTTCTCTCATCTAGGCGCCCGTTCGCCAGAACCTTGGTGGCGATCGACGAACTCCTTACTTCAGAGACGAGGCTCTAGCAAGACTCCTGCGACCCCCCTCTGATCAACTTTTTGGTCGATTTTCAACTCCTTCGCCTTATTCTCACCTTCCCCTACGCTCCTACCAGTGCATTCAAAGTCTAGCTTCTAGGTAAAAGCGAAAGAGCAAACCTTACGCTTTTACACATCCTATAATTTGATAGAAATATTCTAACCATAACTTGTATTCTGCAAAATATGAAAAAAAAAATAAGTGAACATGCTCATATTTAACAAATTATTCTAACACACATAAACTAAATTAATAGGATTTGAAACAAGCATTCACCACCTTCCCTACTTTCTGAAAAAGTATAAGAAGAGAAAACCAAACAACAAATGATGAAGCTGGAAGAGCTATAGGAAAACTTTACCAATAAGTGAAAGTGGCGTTAAATGAGAGGCTGAAGGAGATGAGCTTCAATGATAACATAGTCATAGCGGTGGGGTGGGAGTTGTAGGGATGGGTACGTTGATGCATTGAGTGACGATAACCAAGTTGTAGCAGCAATGGCCGCCACTTGAGAGGAAGTTGGACGCACGTGGCAGGAAACTGAGGGGAAAGGCGCTGCAAAATGGATTTTGGATGTGGCATGTGCTGGTTTTGGAGGTAGAGAAAAGACGAGAATGGAGTAGAAGTGGCAAAGAATTAGGGATGTGGAATTCGTACAAGCAAAGACTGAAATATAATCCTACTAGAAAACAAATAAAACTACATAATTTTTCTCTATTGGGCAAATGATTGAACCAAACACGACCCAAGATGGTCCTCATACTCGGATATCATAAGCGAAGAAAAGCGGTTTGAAAGCTAGCTGCTAAGGATTTTACTATCTTTGAGATTTTTTACTTGGGATTTTGGTGCAAAAAAGCTTTTTGAACAAAAGTTACAATATTTGGGAGTTCCAAAGTGTAAAAATGTAGACTTTTTGGCTTTAAATCTAGCCTTTGACTACATTTAGCTTTTGACTACATTGATCCCTAATTTGAGTCTCTATGTGTGTTTTTTACTTTGTCATTGTCAGTTTGGGAAAATTGGTTATAGGGTTATTAGGTGAAGAGAATTGGTACATTTGCATGTAATGATCAAATTAGGCCACAAATGAGTTAATTGATGAATGGTTGCATGTATTGAAGTGTATGATGACTTATTTATGGCTTGGGGGGTAAAATTATGCATGATATGATTGTTTGTTTGAATTGAGATGGCCATCAAGTGTTATAAAAGGTCTAGTCTTCATACTCTTTCGTAATTGAAACCTACAATCTATTGAACACCTAAGTTTCATGCCCCGATTTGCTTGTCCGTTGTTTGAGCTTAACTGATTGAAATCTGGTTATCTGGCCTTGTGAAAACCATGGTTCAGGAAATTGTACGGAGATCATACCGGACAAGTCAATGATAGGATATTTTGTGGTACGATCGTGGTTCAACCATTTCATACCAGTAAAATACCATTTTGTAATAAAAAATAAATATTTTCATCAAAACACCGTGCCGGGAAAAATAAGCTACCGTACCAAAGTAATACCCGAACTATACTAGAATAATACCGGAAAACAAATAATGAAATACTAAATAATCACAGAATAAAAAATAAACCAACCATGAATTGGACAAATTATCATACAACATCTAACTAATTACATCATCATGCAATTTTTTTAAGTTTTTGTTGAATCATCATGCAATTTTATTTTTAGAACTAAATCCTTAACTTAATAATTCATTCACGTTTAACTCAGCCGAGAATAATTTGTTGACATATTAAAAAAACTACACTATATAATAGCTGAAACACAAAATTGCAACCTTCCATTCAAAATCGGAAAAAATCCCAGAATACTCTAATTATTAAAAAAAATTCCCTAAATACAGTACTTATAAACTTATTTCCCAAAATACAGCAGTTTCAACATCACTGTTGTAGACCAAGACAGTGATGGCAATCACCGCTTTTGTCCAAAACGGTGAGAGCATCACCGCTTTTAAAAACAACAGTGATGCTATCACCGTTTTGGTCAAAAACGGTGATGCAATCCCCGCCCTTTACAAACGCTGTGATATTGTGATCGTTGATGAGCCAAACGGTGAAGCAATTATCACCGTTGATGGGTAAAACGGTGAAGTTGGCGCGGATCGCTGACGTGGTCTCGCGCGGGCACTTCACCGCCAAAGAGGAAAGCGGTGATAGCCCCGCCCCGCCACGTCATCGATCCGCGTCGTCCGCGCCCTTCACCGCTGCCGTTCGATGCGGTGAGGCGCGGATTGTGGTTTTTCTCCACGATCCGACGCCTCACGCCTCGCCACGTCAGCGATCCGCGCATCACTGCCCTCGTCCATGGCGGTGAAGTCACTGCTTTCGACGAAAGCGGTGATTGGCCGTTTGAAATTTCCAGCGCCCCCTTCTCCCTATAAATACCACTCCCCCCCCCCCCCCCACTCTCCATTCCAAACCACACACCAAATTTTATACTTCTTTCTCCCTCCATTACTTCACTCTAGTTTCGTTCTAAGTATGCTCTGTGGTTGCGGCTAAGTCCGATCTTCCGCATCAGAAAGAATTACTAGAGTTTTTGTTTTTTGTCGATACTCTCGCTAGCTTTTCGGCAAAAAATGGACGAAGAGGCTTTGAGAGTACGTAAATTTATTTTATTCTTTTGTGATTTTTTTACATGGGTGCTAAAATTTAAATTGATTTGATTTCATATTTTTTTATAGATGGGTGCTGAGATATACGACCCTAGATTGTATATCGATCCTGGCCCAAGGGATCGAAGGTATTTAACCGGGCAAGATCAACATCGCTCCCGTTCAATTTGGAACAATAATCCGGTAGACACACTAAAATGATTTCAATAGTTTTAAAGTTTTTATTTTGCTTTCTATTGACTGACAATATTGTGTTTTTTGTTTTGTAGGAATCACTTATTCCCATCAGTCATCGAGGGACATGTCGATTGCCCCGTTGGCATGCTCGACTGCAGCCCTATCTAGAGAGGACGGGATTGCACATGCTGAGGCACTTTATGAGGCTTGATATTGACAACAATCTGCTGACGGCAATGGCAGAGCGATGGCGCCCCGAGCTGCATACCTTCCACTTTCTCGAGGGTGAAATGACGATCACCCTCAAAGATGTTGCCATCCTCACCGGGCTCCCGATCACCGGAGATGCCATCATCGACAACTCGAGAAAACCAGAAGATGGTTGGGGGCCATTGATTCAACAACGTTTGGGGTTCAACATGCCGACCACCACGCCCGTCGAAGGTCAGGGGCATCCACCACTGAATGCGGGGCAAGTATCGATCCCGTGGCTTGTTGACCACATCCAGTTGGAGGTCAATATAGGCCCGGATACTCCTGAAGATCAGGTCGAGTGGTATGCACGTGTCTACCTAATTGGCTTGGTTGGTGGGTTTCTGTTCCCCGACAAGTCAAACCGGTGGATACAAGGCATGTGGTTAAATATGCTCCTCGGTGACTGGGACGAGATCGGGAATAAAAGTTGGGGGTCGGCCGTCTTGGCTGGGATCTACCGAGAGTTGTGTACTTGCTCGAAGTTGGGAGCGAAACAAGCTGGTGGTGCGATGTTCATACTCCAGCTCTGGGCATGGGAGCATCTTCCGTTTCTCGCACCTCGAGACCCTTGGGAATTCTGGTTGCCAGATGATGAGCTACGATTGGTAGCAAATCCCCCATATGGTTTCAAGTAAGTTCAATTTAAGTTGAATTTATTTTAGATATGCAATGGTAGCTAGTTAGGTGAATTTAGATCTATTCCAAGTAAGCGAATTTAGTGACATTTTAAGTATGCAATTATAGTATTTTAATGAACTTAGCTATCTTCCAACTAAGCAAATTTAGAGACATTTTAAGTATGCAATTATAGTATTTTAGTGAATTTAGATATCTTCCAAGTAAGCAAAATTATATTTATTCTAACCAAATCGTATTTAGCTAATTTAGATTATTGCCAAGTAAGGAATTTTAGTTCAATTTAGATGCTTCCATACAATCATACTTAACAAGTAAACATCTATGCTTTACAAATTGCTTATATACGTACTTTTGCTTAATTAGGTGGATCAGAGCAAATACAAACGACCACCAGCCCGAGCACTCTTTACTGTTTTATCGTGCTGAATTTGATAAGCCTTGGTGGAACCAGGTAAAAATATAAAATTTCATGATTTTCAATTTTTTAGGTGGAGTGGATATAATTTTTACTAATTCCATGAATTATAATGATTGTAGGCGGAATGGGATCCATATCCAATTGAAGTGGTTGAGTTGCATCGTCTTAGACATCCCGAGGATCAAGAGATATGGTTGTGCAAGGTGCCCTTAATCTGCTGGCACATGGTGGAATGGCACCTGCCCGATCGATCTTTGAGGCAATATTGATTGGAGCAACCAATTCCAGCATCCCCACCTCAAGGGTTCAGGGAGCTCCACGCCATTGACCTACGCTACACCAAAAAGGATTGGACCAGCAAGCATGAATTCTACATCAACATATGGGAGAATAGAAATCAGTGGGTGGTCCAAGGGGTGCCAAAAGTCAGGGGCATCGTTCTGACCATATAAAAATTGATCAGGAACCTCTGTGTAGTAAGGCGTTGGTGCCTGACGGAATGCCACCTCTCTGTCATCGATATCGTCCGTATCTTCCTCCTCACCGACTGATCTCAAATCTTCCTCACTTTCATCGTCACTGGAGGCGAATGGATAGCTCGGCTCAGGATGGTCATCGTTACTAGCATAACCAGCATCGTCTTCTTGGTCATGCGAAGTACGCCCAGATCGAAGGGTGTTTTCAATGTCAGCACACTCTGGACCCCAAGCAGGCCATTGATCACCGTCGGGCTGAACGATATCGACGGCAGTCTCACCATGTTGCGGGTATTCTTCCCACCCAACACCTCCTTCAGAACTACCTCCTCCGTAGTTGCTTGAAGTACCTCCCTAGCCATACCCTCCTGCAGAAGTACCTCCTCCGTAGTTACTTGAACTACCACCCCAGCCATACCCTCCTGCAAAACCATCATCATAAGAATACTGGTGAGAATGAGTATCACCGACCGGCTAGGTCTCGACATACACCTCTGCAAGCCGCACCCCGTTCTCAGATATGAACTGTATCATCATGTTCACCGCGTCATCATCATTTATGACAACTTTTTCGTACATGATTCCGTCAGCACTCATGTCGGGATAGCGGTAAGCAATTCGACAAACTGTCCTTTGCCCGCCCGTACAAGTCCTTTTCTGCACAAATGTCATGGAGTTCTTGCCACGAGAATCTCGACTCAATTTTTAGCATAGTGGATTCGCCATTTTCATAGTCGATCCCAATGTTCGAGTTTGTCACCCGACCATTCCACCTAATAATAAGCCGAAACTTCTTAAATTTACCCATGTCTGCAATTTATAATAATTAAGTATAGTATATAATTACTACATTAGGGATACAAAAACAATATCATCCAAACCCATAAACAAACAAACGCATGTAATTGATCTATCATGAGAAAACTAAGCAAATTCATATAAATTCATAACTAACTAACTAACATCTATCATATCATAATTAATCTAAATATATCATAACATATTTTTCAATAACCGCAATTCACTAAATACAGACATATAATTACTAACACATCAACATGTAAAAAATACATACTTATAACATACTGAATCCCGATCTATCATGAGAAAACTAAACAAATTCATCTAAATTCAATACTAACTAACTAACATCTATCATATCATAATTAATCTAAATATATCATAACATATTTTCCAATAACCGCAATTCACTAAATACAGACATATAATTACTTACACATCAAAATGTAAACAATACATAATTCTAACATACCGAATCCCGACGAGTTTCTTGAGCAGTAAACCAACTCCAAACCAGCTGAGAAAACGACTAAAAAAACACTAATTTTTGTACTAATTTGCTGTAAGGCAGCAGGAGGGAAGTGGGCGTCGGAAGTTATAGAAAAAATGGCAGCTAATCACCGCTGTGGACAATGGCGGTGAACACATCACCGCTTTTGTCCAAAGCGGTGATAGCTAGGTCGCTGTGACCTAATTTTCCACCTAACAGGGCTCTAAAACGTGGTCAATTATCACCGTTTTGGTCGACGGTGATGATGTTATCACCGTTTCTCAGAAAAGCGGTGAGGCGATCAATTATCACCGTTTTGGCCGACGACAATGATGTAATCACCGTTTCTCAGAAAAGCGGTGAGGCGATCATCGTTTTAGACTGCAGCGGTGATTATTTCCCTGTTGTGGTCCAAGGCGGTGATGTGTTCCCCGTTGTGGTCAAAAGCGGGGATACCTTCCCCGTTTTGGACAAAAGCGGTGATCAATATCACTGTCGAAGACAAAGACAGTGATGTTGAAACTGTTGTATTTTGGGAAATAAGTTTATAAGTATTGTATTTGGGGAATTTTTTTTAATACTTAGAGTATTTTGGGATTTTTCCCGAATTAGTAATATAGCTACAACGATCAGTTCTGTTACCATTTTTCTGTTACATAACTTAGTAACTAAATTTTATTTGAATGGATAATTTTCTTTGGTTGCGAAAAAGCATTTTCTTGTAGTGATCCAACGTACTAGTTATATCATTTGAGAGTATACGGTATGAGACTTAGAGAACTAGGACGTAGCGTTCACTTATAAAGGTTTAGTGTATAATATTATATATGTCTCATTCAATTAATTCAATATGTAATGCCATATTTTACTAAGAGTCTGTGATATTTCAGATTGATTAGAAGTCAGCACATATATAGTAAATGGATGATGTAGTTTGAACGCTATGTAGACGAAAACTAATAATTAATTGCTACACACGTTGCTAATTTCGGTTCCAGAACAAATTATTTTCAGATTTTCATAATCACTTACACATGAATCACGGGACGACTATGTACAGAAATAAGTGAATCGAGGTTTACAGATTTAGATGCATGTGTACGAATCAGGTATGCTCAGTATGTTTAACTGACTGACCAATGTGTATAAATTAAGGGGGGAAATGTGTGTAAATCAGAAAGAATCAAAATCCTCTCACGTTTTGGAGATAAGTTGTCATAGGTGTAGATTATTGAAATTCTTAACATTTTATTGTTTGATTATGAACATTGCTTGTTTTCAGTATTAAAGAAAAATTACTTTCATTGTTAACATCGATTTGACGTATCTTTTCAAAATATCTTTGTCTTCGACGCCCGACGGTACAAATCTAGTGGGAGTGAAGTTTTGAGAAAGGAAAAAAAAACCTAACATGTTTCAGAATTTTTCTTTTTACAAAATAAAATCATATATCGATTGAAAAAGAAATAAAAAACAATATGTTCGGGGTCCACGTAATTAATTATCTGATTTAATTCTCATTTTAATTGAAAATACAAAATAAATCTTCGAATTACTCGTTAGCACTTATCCACCTACTAAAATCACAAAATCAATCTAACAAATTTTAAACCTTTAGCTTTAAGCACTCTGTACGGTTAGGAATGATAATTTTGCACCGACTGATTTGACCTATTTTGTGGCGGGACGGGTATGATACTTCTTCTACCTGTCTACCCCGACTCACTTCATCCTTAACCAAATTTTATCTAAATAATATGTAATTTTACTCAAACTATATAATTAGCATTTTACTTTTATCATCTTATATTCTAATTATAATAAAGTTGTGAATGGGTTAGAACCTCAAATTTTTCGAACTATTTAACTACATCCATCATATTATAATTTGTTTATTGATTTATAAAAATAAAATAAAATGAATATTTCTAATGTTTCCCTTTAAATTACATACTCATACAGGTCGGCCTATCCCAATCTGCCACCGAACTGTTATGGGTATATCGACCCCGCTCCGACGAGCCTGCTCCATTATCATTCCTAGTAACCACTCCGCGCGAATGT